CGTGTTATGTTGAACTTCTAAAACAAAGGGAGACCTAGTCAATAATCTGGGAATAAACTATATTCAAATTCATACTTAGTGAGATAGCTCAGAGATCAAATACATAAGAGAAGCGCCCTCCCTCTTAGGGGCTCACTCAGTGAAGAAATGTGCAGACCATGATAAGTGACACCAAAGATCTGAATTCAGGTCTCAGGAGCTCAGAGAAAGAATCAGTCAACACTGCCTGAGCAGATTAAAGATGGCTTCATAGTGGTGAGTAGAAATCCTACAGGTGGAGAGGGAGAAAGGGAACTCCAGGTAGAAGAACCCATATGAACAAAGTTACAAAAACATGACAGTTCAGGACCCCCCTGTAAATGTGCAGCAGGGGGAGAGTGAAAAGAAATGATGATGGTGGGTGGTGGTGCTGCGGGTGGGGAGGGGGTGTGGAGTTTGGCTAAGACCATATTGTGAAGGGCAAGGGGTTTGTGGACAGGCATCCTGGAGTTGTATCTTTCAGAAAGATAATTCTGAAAGCAACGATGAAGATAGCTGGGAAGGGCAAAGAAAGAGGTATATGTATGTATGTGTGTGTGGGAGTGGGTGAGTTATGTTTCCTTGTGTGAGTGGTGTTGATGTAATGTCTCTCTCTCTATATATAGGTAATATATACCTTTAATTCCCTAGGAATTAAAGTTTTTATAAAGTTTAGGTTTTAATTTTTAAAAATTAAGATTTTTATAAGAATTGATTTCCCATAGTGCTCAAACGGAATTCTTTCTGAAGTATCAGATTGTTGCTGCTAGTTGCCGTCAAGTTGCTTCTGACTCATGGTGACCCCATGTGTGCAGAGTAGAACTGCTCCATAGGGTTTTCAAGGCTGTGACCTTTCAGAAGCAGATCGCCAGGACTTACTTCTGAAGTGTCTCTAGATGGGTCTGAACCACCAATCTTTTGGTTAGTAGTCCAGCGTATAACCATTTGTGCCACCCAGGGAATGCCTGCATACCCTTAAAAAAAAAAAAAAAAAAGGAAACAAAATAGCGTCATTGTTTTCTTATTATTAATGTAATACATGTTCAAAGGAAGCAGGGGATACAAATTAGATTTAAAAAGATAGTAAAATTAATCACAGTTATACCAGCAGAGAGAAACATTGTTTGTATATGACTCTTCAATTTGGCTTCAATTTTACAATCTAGAATAGACACTGAACAAGACTGATGTTTGATAAAGTAACTCAGACAAGTGGAGCCAAGCTCATTGTGAGCAGAAGTGAGTATAAGAACTTTGGCCTACTTTGCAGAGTGAAGCTTGCCAAGGAGGACGTTTTATTGTTACATTGTGATAATTATAAATTAATTGGCAATTAATTACCTCCATTTTGTGCTTTATTTAATAATTTTTACAATTATTGATAGTTATTTCAAAACATATGAAAAACACAGTTGGAAATGACTTCATATTTTGGAACACATACTTCTTTAGCATTTCCTCTGTCTTTGATGCAAAAATAAAAAGGAAAGTGGATAAGTGTAAGCAATAAAAATGAAGAACCCCTTCAGCTTTCAATTCTCTTCAAGTGGAAACTCAAGTATTGAGAAATGGTAAGCTTTTATTCATTCTGTCAGCAAATATTTAAGGAATATCAATTATGTGTGGCACAGTGGAGATAGATCTATCAGTGAACAAAATATAGATATGGTCTTTGTGTGCACAGAGCTCACAATGTTATAGTTTAGTAAGATATTTTTTCTCCCTTCTCTTCAGAGTAGAAATTCCACCCATTTTTAAGGTGTGGCTCCATTCCCACATTTCTGTGAAGTCCTCTTGCACTTTTCTGGCACATGCAGGTCTATCCCTTCTCTGGCATTCCATAATTCCTAGAGACAGTGCCTGTTGTGGATCAAACTGTGTCCCCACAAAATATTTGTTGTAGATCCTAACCTCTATGCCTGTGGTTATAATCCCATTTGGGAATGGGTTGTCTTTGTTATGTTAATGAGTCAGGAATAGCATAGTGTGCATTTTGAGCCAATCTCTTTTGAGATATAAAAGAGATTAAAACAAGCCAGCAAGCCGAGATGGGGGAAGGGAGATGCCAAGCCACAAGAAGATTGTGCAGGAGAAGCAGGTCAGAAGAGACAAGGACCTTCCTCCGGAGCCAACAGAGAGAGAAAGCCTTCCCCTAGAGCTGGCACCCTAAATTCTGACTTTTAGCAACCTAAACTGTGAGAAAATGAATTTCTGTTTGTTGAAGCCACCCATTTATGTTATTTGTGTTACAGCACTGCTAGATAATTAAGAAAGTGCCATTATCATACAGTTGGGCCATATGCCATCAGGAACTGACATAAATATATAAAAGTCTTTTCTCCTTAATAAGATAAAAAATTCCTTGAAGACAAAGACCATGCTATATTATTTTTTTTAGGGGGGGGCAAGAATTTCCTGAATATCAAGTAATACTGAGCAAGGCATCTAGAAAATTCCCAATAAAAGCATTTGAATGTGACTGAAAAAACATATTCACTGGAAGTCTCGTTCTTCTTGACTGTATTAAAAGAGATGTAAATAAAATCTTGTCTTAGCATGGTCTTAAGGGTTGGACACGTCACAATACTGGTGCAAATGAAGAGGACCTGGTGACAATTTCCTAATGAAATCTCATGGAACACTCTTCTTTTTACTTGTTATTTTAAAGGCAAATTGTTCATTATTTCCCAAAGATGTTGTACATTTTAAATGTCCCTACATGACTAAAACAACTATCTAATCACTTTTCCATTCCAAATAACGATTAAATTAAGGCTTGGTTACACATGAAATTTGCAAAGGGGGAAGAAAAGATTGCTTGATGTTGTCATTATCACATTTCCAACTGACTGAAAGTTGTGACAAATTAGAATACAGGTAGACTATTAAAACAGGGAAATCATTCTGTAACTCCAGTCTGTACTTTGGCATTTTGAAGGAAGCTCGTGGTGGTTGTTATTCGCAGGTTTCTTTGGAAGCACTTTAAAAATCAATTTATATGATTTATAAGACATTCTTTGAACATGCATCTTGATAAAGTACAGCATAGTATCCAAATTAAGTACAGTATATTGCTTAAAGGAAAACAAGCTATAAGGAAGGGTCAGAAGAAAGATGAAGATTTATACTGATAGAACTAGACCATTTTTGTCCTTTTTTATAAACCTTTAAGGCTTGAAATCATTCTGTTCAAGGTTATTTGAATAACTATCTTCACTATCACGAGTTTCTAATTCTGTAACTATGGGCCTAACCATCTTATCACCTATAGAATTGTTTGAGATGACATTTTTCTATAACAGGTAAACAGCCAGTGACATTTACGACATTTATGCCATGCTTCAGGTGATGGTGAAAGACATGGAGTTTGAGACTGAAAGAAAACAGCTATCAAGTAAAACAGGAAGAATTCCATGAAAAAGTTATTATTCCTATATGGAGTAGAGTTTGTTAATCAAATCATGCTAACTCAGATGTTTTCATTTTCTGCTTTATGATAGATAATTTTGGAGTCACTTACCCTATTACTAGACATGTCTACTAGTGTTTAAGATGTAGAAAGTCTTCCTAAAACTGTCTGGGAATAGCATGTTCCTTTGGTGTTATCATCATCCATTTTTTGATAATCATGAGTCCCCTCCTTCCCACCTCTGTAGCCAGTATTTGGGCTAGGTCAACTGGAGAAAATATTTTTTTTCTTTAAATTTTGCATAACTTAATTGCAAATTCTAATTCTAAAGCCAGGCACAAATGGAAGAAACTTACCAAACGCACAGGACAGAATGTGTTTTATGTATTCTTGCACAAAACGTAAAACTGGTAAGCATTAATGGCAAAATCTAAGATGTCACAGGCAAGACACAAACCTTAGTCTTCCAAACAGCTATAGTGATTGACTTTAAGAATCATTCAAAAACGTCAACCAAAAATCAAACCCATTGTCGCTGAGTCGATTCTGACTCATAGCAACCCTATAGGACAGAGTAGAACTGCCCCATAGGGTTTCCAAGGAGTGCCTGGTGGATTTGACCTGCCGACATTTTGGTTAGCAGCCATAGCTCTTAACCACTGTGCCACAAAGGAGCCCTTTATACCCATATGCACAGAGGCTCTTCCTTGATGGCATCTTGTGCCCTCATCTTCAGCTGTTTAATTCTCTTCTCTGCTAGCCACGTGGACCAAAAGAAATTAACTACATTTCTTGAAGACAGAAGCTATGCTCCTCTTTTTCTTTTGTACAAGATCTAGCCCACAGTGGTGTGCTTAAATACGTTTCATTAACCAAGGCTCAATCTCTATACAGCTTTGCTAAGAAATCAATCACAGATAAGTTTCATTTCACTTGTCTCATTGAGCCTCATTTGATTACAGAAACAGATGCTTAAACAAACCAAAGAACAAGGTATGGCTAATTCAATTTATGACATCTCACCAAGTCTCAGGATTTACAGTGATATAGTCCAAACATGGGTAGTGTCCAAACATGGGTAGTATAGCAGAAAATGGGGGGGGGGGGAGACACAACAAGGACATACAAAAGCCACGTTAGTGTTACTGAGAATGTTAATGCCACAAGGAGAGAATATGGTCTATGGATCATGGTCTATTTCTGTAAATGAAGTATCTCCCCCTTGCTTCCTAAATCTTAATGAATTGTTTTTGTAGTATCTATTTCTGACCAAAAGTGTATACCAAATAAGACTATAAATGAAATAAAGCTGATGCTGATGGCTATTTATTTGAATTCACATATGAAACAGGACTTTCCAACTGTCTGATGTTTTCCTGAAAGATTATGGGTAACAAAGTTTCATGTTCCTTGGACAAGAATTATCAATTTTTCACCATAGGTGGCTTGTGTAATTATTTTTTAAAAACAACATTACTGGTGGTAACTCCAGTTATCATAGGTAATCAGAAATGTGGGTGCACATTCATGCAGAAACAATATCAGAGCATTGTAAGTGTGGGTTCCTACTGACCTTCAGGTTGGTATTGTGCTATAATGGTCACCGTCTGCCCAGCTCCCTTTAGTGCAGCAGCTGCCTGCTCATGGGATGCTCCACGGAGGTCAATGCCGTTCACCTGAAAAAGAAGAAGCCAGAGAATTTTGGTATTTCATAGGGCATATCATTCTGATGATCAGAAGACAAAAGCTTCCCGAAGTTGAGAGTATATCATGTGCCTCAAACTTCCTCATGCCCAAGCTTCACGCTTCTGGTAAATTTTAGTTAGCAGAGGCATGAGAGTTCATCTGCTGGAGTTTGTACATGGTCTGACCAGGTAAAAAACTTTTGTCTAGCCATGTCAAACAAGATTTCAGTGTGTGAGCTGAATCTGCCTCTGTGGGTTTCCTAGATATCTGATGTAGATAGGAACCTTCAAAATTCGAGGGAAAACAGAACAATAAAGAGAGACGCATATAATGTACATGGACAAGTACATGTTGACAGATGAATATATTCAGATGAGGTTCTTGGGAGATTATATGGAATGGGACTGGCTGCCTGCCAAATCCCTCTCTTTGGTCAATTGTCTGTTCCTGTCATCCTGAGCTTGGTTAGACAGCCCTGAGCTTTGTTCCAAAATAAACTTGATGGCCACCTTTCTCATGCACAATTCCAGAATGAATTCCGACAAAACGAAGTAAAGAATGCCTGGAATTTATGTTGATGTTGCTAGCTCCCATTTTGGGGCTTATGTTAAAAAGAAAAACAGAGCATCTGAAAAACAAATACAAAACGTTGTCGGAAAAAAAAAATCATTCTTAAATCAAATGAGAAGCGAAAGCTAAATCTTTCTTCAATCAATTCAGTCTAAGTCAATACAATATAACTATTGAGTGCTCCTCAATGGCAAGGTTCTGTGACTGTCCCAGGAGATGGACGATGGATGGGGACAGAGGTGAAAAGGCAAATCCCCAAGAAGATTTTCTGCTTAAACTGAACACACAGCAAGTCTAGTTTTCTAACCTACACAGGGCTAAGTTTTTGAAGACGGTATCAGATTTCTGCTTCCTTGGCTATGGGCGACAGTCCATGAAAGAATGCTAAGACTCATTAGTTTATCTATATGTTAAAATGTATAATCATATCCTGTTGCCTTTCTTCAATCCTGCTTGACAATGGTTTTTTGTGGGGGTGGGGGGGCGAAAAGTTATTACTTTTAACTGTTTCCTTGTCACGCATGGAACATGCATAACCTTCAATTCCACATTCTGGTCCTGTCATATCACCTCTCTGAGCCTCACTTTTCTCCCGTATCAGAGGAATGGGGCTGTTAGGTTATTTGAGACTAAAACTTTCTTAAACTATAATATTCTAGATTTTCATCTTAGTTAGTAAAAATTATTTCAGAGACTGTCTGCCTAGGGATGAGTCAGAAGTATGACTCAGAGAACTGGGAGAGACAGGAAAGATAATTTGATCCAGGCCCCTGCCTACAGGAAGCTGAATGGGCAAACTTTATGAGCCAATGATCCTTTATCTTGTCAACCAATTAGGATTAAATTTTTATTAAAAGATGAAGTATGATTATAGTAAGTAAATAAATTGTAACATTTCAGAAAGGTATAAAGGGAAAAGTAAAGTCCCCCCACATTTCCTACTCTCAGAGATAACCAGTGTTAGCAATTTCTTGTGTATACTTTTCAGAAATTCTAGATGCACATACAAGCACATAACTTTATGCCTATTTCTGCTTCTATTTCTTTCTCTATATATTTTAATGTTATCTCCTTTTTATCAGAATGAACAGAGTTACAACACATATACAAATCTATAACTTTTTTGTTTTGTTTTTCACTTAACAATAGATCTTGATCATCTTCCATATTAGTTCATATCATTCTACCTGATCCCTTTTTAAAGGGAGCCTTGTGTTCCATGGTATGGATGTACCAACATTTTCAACCAGGCCTTTATTATAAGGCTTAAGGTTGTTTCCAGCTTCTTGCTATTACAAAGAGTACTATAATGAATATCTTTGTGCATGAATCTTTGTGTACTTATGAAAGTGTTTTTGATGGATAAATTCCCTAGAAGTGGACTTCCTAGACCAAACGGTATATGTATAATTTGTTTCTTTTAATTTACAATTGCACATTTTAAAAATGATTGCTTATTCAGTAAACAAACAGAAATTAATAGAGAAGAAAACAAAAACAAGCCATAATCTCATTGACCAAATAACACATTGATAAAATAAAATTAATATATGTACATATGTGTATACATGAAAACTAAAGCAGTACAGAAAGGTATAAAAATAAAAGCCTCTTCCTACTTCCTATCATTCTTCCCAAAGGAATCCATATTGAAGACTCCTTGTATAACTACTATTTATTTTTGTTATGAATATAAACAGGCTTGCAACATATACTTTCAATTTTTTTCACAAATAGGATCATATTCTACACATTGTTTTATAACTTGATTTTTCCCACTGACTAATATATCTTAAGAGAGAATTTCCCATTCACATATTCTTACACATTGATCTCATTCTTTTAATAGCTTTGGCGTGTTCTATTATTTGATGTAAAACTATTTTACCTGCATGATCAATTGCTTCAGTGTTTTATTATTATAAATAATGCTGTCAGGAATATCTACAGGGTAAACTTCTAATAGTAAGTTGTTGGGTAAAGCGTATGTGTGTTAATTGTTGGTAGCCACTGCCAAATTGCCTCCAAAAATGTAGCTTAACTTATATTCCCACAAATAATATATGATTGTCTATTTCCTCACACTCTTCAATTATGAGTGAAGTTAAGCATTTTTTTATATGCTCATTGGTTATTTACGTTTAATTTTACATAAAACGCCTGTTCATTAATTTTATCTAGTTTTTGTTTAGCTAGCTTGTTCCTTTGAAAATTCTTCTGTAAGATTTCTCTGCAGATTAAGAATATGCGCGTCCCCTTTCAGAAAACTATTGTAAATATTCTTCCTAGTTTTTTGTCTTTTAACTTTTAAAAAAACTTTTCCCTTCTGTGTTATTTCTTGTCATATGAAATTTAAAATTTTTTCTGTAGTCAGTTATAATTGTTTTCCCCTTTTTGGCTTTTGAGTTTTGTATTATATCTTCCTCTCACTAATATATTTAACAAATTAACCATATATTTTCCTCTAGTACAACCATAGTTTAATTTTTAATCATTTAATCTTTGGTTCACTGGAATATACTTTGGTGCGTGAGACTCTAGCTCCCCCCGCCCCCGCCCAAATGAACAATCACAGATTCCCGGACATTTCTGCATAGCATCAAATTTCAACACCTTTCCTCATTCTGGTTATTCTCAGAACTTTTCTCAGTTAATGCACTAAGAGAGTATGGAAAAGTAGGAAAGAACAAAAGATTTAGAGTCAGACAGACCTGAGTTCATATTTTGAGTCTACCAGATAAACATAGGTAACTGGGGAAAGTTGCTTAGCTTTTTTCAAATCTCATTTTCCTCACCCACAAATGGTATAATAATATCTACCTAGCATGTTGAATGAAATTTAATCTGAATTAAAGGAGACAACATCTATAAAAGCCCTAACAAAGTGCTTAGTACAAACAAACTCTCAGCAAATAGCACCTATTATTAGTATTTCTTCAGAGAGCTGTGGTTGTAAGTGAAAAAATAAAATCTAATGGAAATTAATATAGAGTGTAATATATGGTTACTTCATGATCTGTTGTTGTTGTTTGAAATACAGAATTTCAGCACTGAAAGAGCCTTAGAAACCTGTTCATCCAGCACTTACACATTGGAGATGATCCCCCAGGGGAAAGGACTCACCCAAAGCCATACAGGAGTTAGCACAGGGTCAGGGCCAGCCCAAGGCTCCTAGTTCAGCTTACTTAGGGTTCTTTCCACTGCATCAGCTGTGCCCTGCCATGCATGTTTGTTTGCTTTCCACTAGGCCAGTAACAATAAAATCGTGTTCATCTTAGGCTTACTTCTACATGGATCTCTGCATTTGTAGAGAATTTTGCTGCGGCTTTTATCCTGACCACCACCACACTGCTCTTGTCCCTGTTGATTTTCTTCCTAGTTTTAGCAAACATGCTCTCCTCAAGTCTTTCAAATTTGTCAAGGTCATTTTGATTCTTATTTCTATCCTTGAGGTTTGAATTTTTATCGGCAAACTTTGCTCAAATAACATTTTCAGAGACATTCAGTTTACAGCATTGGTATGACATTTAAAAATACCAAATGTGACACAGCCTCATATATTTATTATTTCTGTTTTTCTGCTTCAGTTTGAGTTTTCTTGAAGCATAGAGACTGGGAGATTGGATGTCATCAATTATTGCTGAGATTGATAATAATAATCATTGCTAATATTCATTGAGCATCAGACATGTATTAGGAGCTTTATGTATATTACCTCATTTAATCCTCAGGTGGCTCAAATTATTTTTCCCATTTTACAGATAAAAGAAACTGAGCTCAGAGAGAGTCACTAACTGACTCAAGGTTACACAGTCCAGAAGAGGTTAAAGATTTAAAACTGTATAATTGAAAATTCTGAGCTCATAATCACCAGTTTCTACTGTCCTTCCTTTAATATCTTATCCAGTTTTAAGGGTCTATGCTGACATGATTGCAGTTCTGAAACTTGTCTTTCAGGAACATAACTCAAGCTCCGTCCGGCTGACAGCACATAATTGGGTGTGGCACACTGGTCTGCTCTGTCATGACCTGAAGCAACCTAGTCTACACCTTATGGTCCAGCTCATGAGGATCAGATCATGTAGGGATGAAGTAAAAGGCTTTGTTCAGGTTAGAAAATTTTCATCTATTGCTTCCTCCTTTACGTACATAGCTGTCAGCGGACCATAAAAGAAAATTCAATTCTAACTGGTATGATCTCCTCCTCACAACCATGTTGGTGATGAATAAAAATTTCAGCACTTCTTGTTGACCTCAAAAGAGCCCTACTAGTTAAGCATTTGGCAGCTAACCCCATCAGCTACTCTGTGGGAGAAAGGACCTGGCAATCTGCTCCCGTAAAGATTACAGCCTAGGAAATCCTATGGGGCAGTTCTACTCTGTCATATAGGGTCACTTGCTTTGAGTCAGAATCGACTTG